TAAATTTTCGGTGAAATTTGTCAAAGAAAAGAGAAAATTTCGAAAAAAGAAGGCGAAGGTTCGAAGTGGGGGAGAGAGGGGATTTGAAATTATGGAAATTGTTTTTTTTTTTTTTTTTTTTTTTTTTCCGCACGGCCGTGCGAGATTTAGGTGAAAAATCCGCACGGCCGTGCCCTTTCTCAGAATTAGGCAGTAGCCTCTTCAAATTTCACACGGCCGTGCGAGATTTAGGTGAAAAATCCGCACGGCCGTGCCCTTTTCCCATTTTGGGCAGTAGCCTCTTCAAATTTCACACGGCCGTGTGAAATTCCTGCCTTTTTCTTGCACGGCCGTGTGAATAATTGCAAAATTTGCAATTAAGCCCCTGAAAAATAAAAATTTCTTATTAGTGCCCCTGAAACTTTTTTTTTTTTTTTTTTTTTTTTTTAGTAAAAATAAAATAAGAACTAACACTAACAAGATAAATAAATAAAAACAAAGATTAAAAGAAAATAAAATAAAAGAAAGAAAAACGAAATCTCGGGTTGCCTCCCGAGAAGCGCTAAGTTTACAGTCTTCAGCCGGACTTTGTCTGCTTCTTTGTTCAAGCTAACGTGACCGAAGTCACTTGGCAATTGAATTCCTCTCCCCGATGACTCTCGTTTGATTTTTTAGGTGGCCACATCCTCCTTGCACATTTATCACCGTTAGCACCCCAACTCTTTTGACTATCTCTCGGAGGTGTTGAAATTGAGTTCGCACAACAAACGTGCTCCTTCCGATTCCCTTTTCCGTTATTATCTCCTGCACTCAACGATGCTTTCCCATGGTCTAAAATTGAAACATCAAATTTTTCATGATTTGTAAAATCCATAAGATCAATAGTAAAACACTCATTATTCTCACATGGATTTTTATTAGCACAAAAAACATTAAATTTGATCGTTTCATCATGCACTGTCATTGTAAGATCACCACTCGCACAATCAATTAAAGTTTTTGAAGTGGCTAAAAACGGTCTCCCTAAAATCAGAGGTATCTCCCTATCTTCATCTATATCGAGTACAACAAAATCAACCGGGAAGATAAATTTGTTCACCTTTACTAGCACATTCTCTAAAATACCTTTTGGGTAAACCAAAGATCTATCGGCTAATTGCAGAGTTATAGCCGTAGGTTCAATCTCACCTAACCCAAGATTTTTATAAGTGGAATAAGGCATAAGATTAATGCTAGCACCCAAATCAATGAGTGACCTAAAATTTTTACCTCCTATAGTACAATGGATAGTGAACTTACCTGGATCGCCGAGTTTTTGTGGAAGGGGTCGTGTAAGAATTGCACTACATTGTTCCGTGAGTTGGATCATCTCGTTCCCTTGCAATTTCTTCCTTTTCGTCACGAGATCCTTGAGGAACTTCACCCATTTTGGCATCTTTTGAAGGGCTTCAATAAACGGAATATTTACTTGAATTTCCTTCAGCTTGTCCAAAAATCTTTGATAATCGGCATCGAGCTTCTTCTTTATAAGCTTCTGAGGGTATGGAATTGGAGGGGCTCGTGATTTCACTGGGGATGATAGTGGTTCTTCGTGAGTTGCTTCTTTTTCCCCAATCACGCTCGGCTTCTCGATCACCGTGTTTTGCTTCTCTTTTCGTGGGGCTTCCACCAATTGTCTCCCATTCCTTAAACTCACCGCGTTGCACTGCTCGACGTTGTTCTTCCGAGGATCTTCCGTATTCGACGGCAGTGCTCCCGATGGCCTCGTGGTTAGCTAGGTTGCAAGTTGACCTATTTGTGTTTCCAAATTCCAGATGGAGGCTTGGGTGGTTGTCATGAATTGCGCCAAGATATTTGCGAGATCTACACCTTGAGGTTGAGCTTGAGGCGGATTTTGGAATCCGGGAGCTGGTCGTGAATGATTTGGCGGTTGACCTTGAGGTGTTGCTTGCCTTTGTCCTTGCTGATTTCCTCCCCACCCAAAGTTAGGGTGATCCTTCCATCCGGGATTGTAAGTATTGGAGTACGGGTTCCTCTGTTGTCGGTTGGTGTCATGCACATAATTCAGAGACTCCGTTTCTTCTACGCGCTGGTCGGGAACTTGGACTGCGTGGACGTGCTGAGTCTGCAAAGCCGCTACTTGCTTCGATAGCTTCTCCAATTGGGCCGTGATTGCAGTGACTCCGTCTAACTCCAAAATTCCCCCCGTCTTGACTGCTCCGCTATTCGACCGGTCGGATGCTCGCATGTATTTATTCCTAGCGATTCGTTCCAAGAGCTCGTATGCTTCGTCGTAGGTCAAACTCATGAACATACCTCCAGCTGCAGAGTCGAGCACTGTCCTCGAGTTGTCTTGCAGTCCATCGTAAAATATTTGCAGTTGGCGCCACTCTTGTAGTCCGTGATTCGGGCACCTCCTTACTAACTGTTTGAACCGCTCCCACGTCTCGAATAATGCTTCGCCGGCTTCTTGTATGAAGTTTTGGATTTCTCGCCGGATTCTGTTAGTTTTTGTTGGTGAGTTGTATGTGTTCATGAAAAGTTGAGCTAGCTGGGCCCATGACGAGATGGAGTGCGGTGCACGAGTTTGCAACCATTCTCGGGCTGCTCCTTGTAGGGAGTGCTTGAACAGGCGGAGTTGCAGTGCTTCGGGTGTTACTCCGTTCATCTTGTGCGAGTCACCCGTTTCGAGAAAGTTGACCAAGTGAAGATGTGGATCTTCATGAGCCAATCCGCTGAATAGACCATTGTTTTGGAGCATCGTGAGGAGTCCCGCTCGAATCTCGAAATTGTTGGCTTCAATGGGGGGCTGCTGGATGCTTGATTGGAACCCATTAAGCGTTGGAACGGTGTACTCATGCAGTGCTCGTTGGCGCGATGGTGGATTAATTAGCTGGCGTTGCTCTTGCTCATTGACGACTTCCCCAACTGCAATCGGTATGCGCCCTTGGTCACCTCCCCCACGATTATTCTCGTCTTCCATTTTTGCCGGAGTGTTTTGGGCTAACCGTTGATTTCTCCTGGCTTGCCTAAACGTTCGCTCAATTTCGGGGTCGAGAGGTAGCAAGCTCGTGTCGTGTCCTCTTCGCATAAAAAGTACCTAAAACAAAATAATAAAGTAATTAAATAAAATAAATAAAATGGCTGAAGTAAGAAAAATTGTTTAAATTTAATATTAGGATAAATAAACAATTTAGCCGTATTCCCCGGCAACGGCGCCAAAAACTTGTTGGGTGCTAAATACCAACACGCAAGTGTACGTATCGCAAACAAGTAGTAAAGTAGACTCGTGAGAGTCGGATGTCGATCCCACAGGGAATACGCAAATTATTTAATCCTAAGTACCAAATCCTAACAATTATGATTTTTATCCAGCCTACGCAAAGTTGTCAAATTAATTAACTAAATAAATTAAACTAATTAAGAGAGCAATTAAACACGAGAAAAATATCAATATAAAAACGGATCTAGGATTTTATCTTCCCCCTATGCGATAATTCTTCACCCAATTAATCTCCTATCATGCAAGTTACGATTCCCGATTATTAACCCAAGACACGAAATTACTCATAACCAGCTGTCGCTGCGTTATAAGCCTATTATTCATAAAAGATTCACTATATGTCTATGCAAACCTAGTATAAATAAAGCATTAAATAACAAGTCTCGTAAACGGCTACCTAAGGTATTATCTGTATGTCTACGATAATACATGCAATTAACACACGCATTCGGTGAAAAACTACTCGAAGGCTCTTCTATCCCTGTTCTAATTATTAAAACGATCTGTCAATCAATTCTAACAATAACAAATAGCAACATAAATTAGCTACGTTCATGCGCTAAATAAGATCAAGATAGGAGAAATAATCGAAGAATTAAACTTGCATAAAAGTAGAAAAATAGGTTCGAATTACCACATAGGGTTCCAATAAAATCCTAGAATAAAAACTTAGCTACTCATGTTCGTTACGAAAAGCATAATAAAAATACGAAAAATCATAAAAGCTAATAAAAGAGGAGAACTATGATGAAGATTCGTCAAGTCTTCGTCTTCGTTCTTGTGCTCCTTGATTGCGTGTAGAAAGATGAAAAATAAAAACCTAAAGATTAAAGATAAAAGGTAAAGATAATCCTAATTGTGTGCTTGTGGCCTTTAAATAGGGTGCAAAAATATAATAGGGCGGGTTTCCTTGTGTAATTAAACTTCCTTCACTGCGCCCCTACGTCCATCCGGACGGCCGTGCGAGAATAGGCTTTAAAATCCGGCCGGCCGTCCGGTCCTTGATTCTCCAGAATTCTGATTTTTTCACTTTTGGCCCACTTTTTCTCCAAATTTGCAGTTTTCACCCCAAAAGTTGCCAATTCTTCAATTTGCACCTAAAATACAAATAACAACCATTTTAAGCACCAATTATCATTAAAACACACCAAAAGCTCCAATTAAAAAGGTACAATTAAGTGTATAAATATACACTTAACAATAATTAAATGGATTTAACGCAGACCTCTGTACTATGTGTTAAAACCAATTTCAGGCACTTCAAATTACGGAGCCTATCAATAAGTTCCACGAGTAGTCGAGGATAAATAAAACCGTCTTGTGGCTTGATATTATTGAGAATATCGATATTTGCTTCAACTAATGAGGTTAGCTCCACAGATTTGATATGACGGGCTGACAAATCAATTAAACAGAGATAAACAAGTGCAGGGGTCACTAGTAGAAAATTTGCTTATTACTACGAAATTTTTTGCTAAGGTAAACAACCGTAATAAAATGTACTTTTTACTACGGAACAATTTTGAAGTCGTAGTAAATACTAGGATTTACCGTAGCATAAAATTATTTGGTACGGCCATTTACCGTAGCAAAACTTTTGTTACGCCCGTATATGCTACGGGGCAAATTCGTAGCAAATGCGTAGCAAAAGCCTTTTTAGTACGAATTTAATACCTTTAGCTACGGTTAATGATCGTAGTAAAAAGCCATTTTCTACTAGTGGATATCTAACTCCAACATGCAGTCAAGGTCGTTCGAATGGAAAATATCAAGATCGAGTGTGATCCGTTTGAGTGTGGGTGAAGATATTTTACAAGAATCAAAGTCATTGGTTGATTGGAATACCAACTCCTCAATAACTGGAGAACCGGAGAGTAGGTAGGTAAGGAACTAATAACCATCAATTAAACGGAGATTAGTCGAAGCTTCTTGAGGCGGGGCAAACACACGGCACCGCCCGTATCAGTGATAACGCATAATTCGATGAGGGTTCTATAGTTGAAGAGGCATCGAGGCATACGAGCATCCAACTCAGAACAATGAAGATCGATGCTCCGCACATTGTGGTCAATGGCAAAGGTTATCCATGTCTTGATTTGAAATTCGTTGAAAAGTGTTGATGTTGTGCAATTTATGAAGCAATAAAACCCTAATTATGATATGTTGATCCTCGCAGCCAAAAGGTAAATTGGGGACATGAGACCAGAGATACCTCCATCTTTGACCTAGTGTAATGGAATTAACCGTTTTTTTAATTTCTTTTGTTATGTATTAAGCGACGTCGTTTTAACTTATTAAAATGCGTTTACGCTTTTATTTATTACCGCGTCTTTTGAAGCTGGAGTAGGGAGTTAAACGACGCCGTTTTGGGAGGGGAGCATGGGCAGTATCACGTGCAAACAGCGTGCTTTGAGCTGTGTTGAAGACCGTTGTTTTCTTACTATAAATGGGCAGACACACACCGAGAGTTGGCAAGCATTATCACAGTACTCTAGTCTAGCTTAGTTAATGTAGAGATAAGGTTGAGTTCTAGTTTCTTTGTCCCCAAGTTTGTCTTTCTTTCTTGAAGATTGTAAACCCTATTTTCGTATTTTGAATGAATCAATCTTTCAGGTGTGTTTCGATTCTTGAATTCGGGAATTAATTATATTTTCAAGAGTGATTCTAATTTATTTATTTTTTTTATTACAAGGAAAATAGGGTGTTTATTTTTATTTTTTTTCAATTCAAACCCATTATCTCTTTCAATCAAACTCAAACTCACCAACCCCATAAGAAGAACATGGCCTAAAAAAATACAAAAAATAATCCACACACCGCGGCGGCATTCTCTATCTCACTATTAATGTTAAACTTTTGTTATGCGATTAGAATATATAAACGATGAGGAGAGAATCATGTTCAATTTTTTTTATACATTTTAAGTACTAGCAAGCACCACGTTCGTTGCACGTGATTACGTATGATTTTACTTAATATATGACTTATGATTAATTAAATAAAGTTACATTTTATATTTTACAAAAAAAATATTTTTAAATAAAGTCAAATAAGTTCAAAACTTCATATTCTACTTATATATCAAAACGTATGATGGAATAAAATTATTCTAAAATTGCAATCGATAAGAGTATAAAACTATAAGAAAATAACTAAAATAAATTGTTATATATTAATTTATGCATGAAAAATGTTCCCATTAAAATTTATCTTATTTTGTTGTGATAGTTGATAATTTTCATTATCTTGAATTTCTCTGCATAAATATTGTTTGAAACAATTATGTCCTTTTTTTTTTCTCGTGTTACTCATATGTTATGATCACCGTGGTCAAATTTACCAACAAATTCCTTAAAGAAAGTGTATAATTACTACATCACAACCCTGATATTTGGTGTAATTACAGCAAAACTGCCTCTAATTTGTTTTTTCTCCGAAATTCAGTCCGGAAGAGAAGAGAGAAGATGAGAAGATGAGAAAAGGAGAAGAAAGAAACGGCAAATGAAATGGGTTAGGGTTGTGAAACGTGAAAATGAGATTTAATATCAATTAAGGGCATAGTAGTTAAACTCGCGAGATACCGCGAGACGGTACGGTCCCAATCAAAACGATACAACTCATAATCTGTATCGACAATGCATAAATACAGGCAAATATTGCGAGATATCGTGTCATATCGCCATATCATGATACGATACGATATTTATGATATTAGTCAAAATATTAAAAATATTATAAAAAAAATTATAAAAAATTATAAAAATTATAAAAAAAATTAAAAATTATAAAAAAATTTAAAAAATTATAAAATAAAAGAAAAAGGAAGGAAACACATTATTCACATAATCAGGACCTCAAAAAAAATTTCAATACTATTTAATGTTTATCTTACATATATTAGATCCAATAAATTAATTTATATTATATTGATAAGAAAAAATAGGGAAGAACCAAAGTTGGAGTTGATGAAGTTGAAAGGATTAATGAACATGAGGATGATTGAGACTCGTTTAAAATTGGTGGATGATAAAGACTGATGATACGTAACAAAATTCTATGTGAACGGATAGAATTATTTACTTTTTCTCCTAAAAACGAAAAAAATCCCAAAATATCTCGATATTCAAGTTGTTGTTATGCCCAATATTATGTCTAAAGTAAAGAGTGATTGAAAATTTTACATTATAGAACAAAATCTTTAAATTTAAATTTTTAGAGAAATAATCTTTTAATTGTGATCTTTCAGTTGGTATGTCATTTATTCTTCTTAATTCCCCCAAAATCGTATGCATGTGACAATGCTTCAATATGAGGATCTTCAGATATCCCCACATTAGAGTTCCTCATCCAACTATCTCTATTTTCATGCAAATGCATTCTCCAGCCACACTTGGCAAAACCTCATTGGTCAGCAACCCATACTCACAATCACATGTGATTCTTACAACCTCATGTCGGATGCCTCCAAAGTATTCAAAGAGGATTAGTGATGATAGCCGTTGCCAAATATACATTTATGCCACCGATCAAGATTTTTAAATGCCACGTGTATTAATATCACTACCAATCCAGATATTGATATTCGTAGATAAGGGCTCTCATATCATACATACCCCAATATAATTCATATAAGGGATTATTTTGTAGACTCCCCTCATTTCCAAATTATATATAACTAACTACCAAGTGGATTACACTCTAGGGGAAATCCCCTCATTTCGAAAATATTTTGACATACTCCCCTGGGCTACCCTGAAGTTCCTATAATACCCTTCTAAAATCAGTTTTAAACCCTAGCCACTCACGGTCTCTCTCTTCTTCTCTCCCAAATTCAAAATTCCGCCTCCACAAACCTCCCACCAGCGAAATTGTTTTACGGAGCCATAACTCTCCGGTGGTCGGAATTCGATGGTTTAACTACCGTTGGATTCCTCTCGTCGAGCTCTTTCTTTTGGTGATGATTTCATTCAGTTTCGAACGCTGATCTGTTTCTGCAATTTTTTTTCATTCGAGAACGGTGGTCTTGCCGGAGTTTTATTTTGTGTTCCACCCGTCGAAATTTGACGGGTCACCTACCGTTGGATTCCTCTCGTCGGGATCTATATTTTGATGGTAATTTCGTTTATTTTTATGTTTTCAGATTTATTTCTATATTTTTTGCATCTGTGGCCGCGCGGAACCATTGGTGGTTATTAGCGGTGTCTAGGGTTTTGGTAGGAGGCGAGGGGGGTGAGGAGTCACTGTCTGTTTGATTTAAAATTTGTAGCATTTCCTAGCAATAACCTCTTTCTCTATCTCCCGATCTCTTAATGTTTGGTGATTTTTGAGTGTTTTGATGTTTTTCTTCAAATTTGTTGATTTGCACTAAAGTAATTTCTTTTTGTTTTGATTTTGCAATTGCAGCTTAATGAAGGCCATTAATCCTTTCCTTGAAGGTGTCAATTTTTTGTTTTTTTAAGTTACATCAGATCTGTTCAACAGACTGTATACATTACTATAGTAACATGTAGTTACATATGCGTATATTTATGTATTTTCGATTTGTATTTTATTGGTTCTGATGTGATTTATAATAAAAATATTTAAATTTGTAAATGTTTGTTGGGGTTTTATGATTTTATTTTGTATAAGTCAGTATTCATGTGTGTATACAATTGATCGACTAAAATATGGGGAAAAACCGAACATAACTATGAATTACTATAGGTATTATAGTTACATGTAGTTATTTTCAGTACTGTAAACATATTGTTTTGAAAATTAAAAAAAAATTAAAAAATTAAAAAAAAATATATATATATATATATATATATATATATATATATATATATATATATATATATATATATATATATATATATATATATATATATATATATATATATATATATATATATATATATATATATATATATATATATATATATATATATATATATATATATATATATATATATATATATATATATATATATATATATATATATATATATATATATATATATTTAACAAACAGATTTATAAAAAAAAAAAAGGAAAATAATAATAAGTAAATCAGCGAAAATGATAAATGCAGGACCATAAATGCTGAATGCAGTTTGGCCGAAAATTGCACATAAGGATAGTATAGTACTTTCGTTTCCCCAGGGGGTATGTCAAATGATGATTTGGGCTTGGGTTTATTCCTAATTTATTTGGTGGCTAGGGGTATGTAAAATAACCCCTTCATATAAATACATGATCACTTGCTGGGCCTTAGAAATCAACCAACACACGTTAAACATTCTTTGCAAATACATATTCTCAATTATACATTAATTAAGAATATGTCATTGACAGTATAATTATCTTAATTTACTATCAGTGACAGCTCAATTACGGTCAACGTTTAGTGGCGGAGGTAAAAAAAAAAAAAAAAAAAAGAAAAACACTAAAAAAAGTCAACGCCGGAGACCGCCAGCCAACGCCGGAAACCAGAGAAAAATCCGGAAGTAAAGAAAAAAAAAAATCAATGTTGGAATCCGGCGGTATTTTTTTTTTTTTTTTAAAACATATCCAAGAGGATTCGAGTAGATAGATGCGATTATATAGTTGAAAGGTAAATCATTCGAAAACATAGGCCTTAAGATCTTGTTCTCTCGAATCCTAGAGCGAGGTTTTGGAGTTGTTAACAAACTCCTCAAATAAACATTTTAATATTTATGGACCGAAGCAAAAAGAATAGCAGGAGTTTTGGATTGTTGGTCTTCCAACTCAGCTATTATTGAATATTAATTATTAAATAGGGTAAATTACACCCACACCCCTGAGGTATACTTAAATAACTGTAAGGTCCCTGTGGTATCAATAATTACACTCACCCCCCTGAAAGGTAGTTAAAAACTCTAACGGGATAATGCATTGGGTACATTATTCCGATAGGGTTCTAATGGACTATTACATTTAGCTAGTTATGGAGATAACATAGAGTTATGGGGTGACATGACTCCCCCAATATTTTTTAAATCACCCATAACTCTTTGTTGTCTTCACCACTTCCTGAAACCAATAGTCCATTAGAACTCTATCGTAATAACGTATCCAATGCATTATACCATTGGAGTTTATAACTACGTCTCAAGGGGGTGAGTGTAATTATCGATACCACAGGGACCTTAAAGTTATTTAAGTATACCTCAGGGGTGTGGGTGTAATTTACCCTATTAAATAATACTCATTACTCAACATTATAATGTAACACATCATACATTTATTAATGTTCAATGAATTAAAAATGATAAAATTAAGGATTAATTAATATTACTTTATTGTCCCTCTAATCTTACCTATTAAAAAAATATTTGTGTCCAAACAAAAAAGGGAAGAAACCGCTAACTACATTCATCCTTTCATAAGAAGTTTAGATTTACAAATAATATCTAGAAATATATTACACTAAATCTAAAAACCGATTTGTTTTCGATATATCTCCGATTAATCACCGCCGCGCCGATTTATCGTGTGGCGGCCCCTAACCGCCTCGGACCCAATAACCGATATTTAGAACCTTGGTTGATATTATTATTATGGGGCTATATGACATACACCCCCCATTGAAATTTTACTTCTTGATAAATCATTTATTTGTAAAATATATTTGACATAAATCGAATAGGCCTGAAAAACCATATATGCCCCGACTAATTAGTATAATTATTAAAATTAAAAATAAGGCAAAATCCCTCCCAAAATCACGTTACCGTAAAATCCTCCCAATATTTCTCCCCCCAAATCACGATAGAAATCCACTCCGGCATAGCCCCTTGTCCCCGTTTTCAGAATTCCCCTCCAAACAATTGATACTATTCTTGATGAAAACTGAAATCAGAAGCGAAAACCGCTAATTTTATTTTCCTGAGGAAGCTAAATTTCTTTGTATTTTGTACAACGGCAATATGGTAAACAAATCAGCAGCGAAAAATAAGTAATTAGTGCCATCAGTTGTTGAATCTCATCAATTAGTGGAATACTACAAGTAATCGTAATGGGTGTTCTTAATTTTTTGTACATGTGCTTACAGGAATGGGTAAATTTTTACAGGAAAGAGAAAATCCAAAATCGGTCCCGATATTATGTAATTAGATGCTGGTGAGTTTTCAAATCCGTAAATGGTGAATATATGTCGATAGTTGTTGTTTGTGATGATGGGTGTTTGGCCGATTATAGTTATCAATTGCATGCTTAATTTCGAAACCGCTTTTTGGGTTCCAAAAAATTCTAGACATTGTTAAGTTTTTTTTTCTTTTTTTTTTTTTTGTGATGTATGTCACGATAAATAAAACCGAAAATTAGAAAGCGAGGTTTTGCGTGTTTTTTTGCATTTTACATCCTGGTATGTGAATTTTAGCGGGGTGCATGCTTAGGTAAATCTGTTTCTTGTTGTAAATTGTTGTTTGAATGTGAATTACACGTTTATCTGTGTGGTTTGATTTATGTTCATGTGTTAAGTTTTATCGTGGTTTTTTGGGTTCTGTTGTAACCACCAAAAGATATGCGGTCTTGTTTATGCAGTTTTGAATTCTGAACATATCCTAATCATGTTCAATGGTATTGACTAAGTGGTTTTCATTTATGTTCGTTTGCTACATAGGTTATGTGGTTTTTGATTTTTTTGAACCCAAAAAAAATTGTAAATGTGTACTTTGTTTAGGTAAATTTGTTTCTTTTTGTAAACTGTTGTTTGATTGTGAAAAACGTGTTTAGTTGTCTGTGGGGTTTGATTTATGTTCACGTATTAAGTTTTAATGTTGTTTTTAGGTTCTGTTGAAACAACCCGAAGATATGATGTATTGTTTATGCGGTTTTGAATTGTGAACATATGCTAACCATGTTCAGTGGTATTGACTTAAGCAGTTTTCATTTATGTTTATGTGCTACATCGGTTATGTGGTTTTTTATTTTTTTTGAAACCCAACAAAAATTGTAAATGTGTACATTGTTTAGGTAAATTTGTTTCTTTTTGTAAATTATTGTTTGAGTGTAAAAAACATCTTTAGTTGTGTGTGTGGCTTTTAGTTATGTTCACGTGTTAAGTTTTCCTGTGTTTTTTGGGTTATTTTTTAAACCACTCAAAAGATATGTGATTTTGTTTATGAGGTTTTGAATTGTGAACATGTCCTAACTATGTTCAGTAAGTGTTTTCATTTATGTTCCTATGCTACATAGGTTATGTGGGTACTGGGTTTTTTGAAACCGAAAAAAAAAGTTGTACGTGGTTCTGAATTAAATGGCTCTAAAGTCTGCACGTATTCTAAACAAGTTATTTTGTTTGTGTGGTTTTATGAAACCACTTAATTGTATGTGTTGTATCAAATCCCCCCTCTCTTGGACTAGTAGGGTGCAACCAGCGATAATCGGGGTATATGTTGTGCTTCAAAATTGTGTACCTAAAGCAAGTAGTGGTTTACTAAGAATTATTAGCAAACAATGGTTTACAATCTTTTCGTGACTCCATACTAATGTATACGCCCAAAAAATTACTGTTTAAAATGTAAACTAATCACTGATCAAAGGTTGATTTGATAATATTTTGTAGTGTGTACTGTTGCATTGATCTAAAACCACTACTAATAGTTGATAAAACATTATTGACTTGGTGTAGTCTCGGAACTAGAGATGTTTTGTTAATTGCCATATATCATGCATGTCATAAATATTGTGTTCATTTTATTTTTGTCTATGTATATCTTATTTCTTTTCTCAGGCGAGCGATGTCGGAGGAAGATATTTTTGTTGATCATATAGGTGCCGAGTCTACAGGTACTGACGTAATTGATTTGGAGTTTGACGATATGGGTATCCCGTTGCACCTGGGAGGTACAAGTTGGCGGTGGCAATTAGTAACGAGGTTACGCATTGGGATAATTTTGATCCATGTATTTTCTGGCCTAACCACAAAAAAATGGGCCACGTTGAGGGATTTTGGAAAGCGTTTAAGTTATTTGTATGTAATTTTTATTTTATTTAAGTTTTTTTTTTTTTTTTTGTTTCATTTGAGTTGTATATTTTTATATGCTTTTAATTAGGGAACTTGGAAACTTCCTGAAAATGAGGCTACAAAGAAATTGTTCAATGAGACTGCTAACGGTCGTTGGAAAGATGCAAAAACTAAAAGATTGAATGCAGTTTTTGATAGAGCTCCAGACCTTGCCACTGCTAAGGCAAATTGTCCAAATAAGATTAGTGCTCAAACTTGGGAGAAACTATGTGATCAATGTCATTCTATTTCCACTCCTGGTGTTGATGGGAAGGTAAATTATATATATTTAATTTATGGATCATGTTTAAATATATTTAAGTGTTTTAATTTTTTGTGTTAACTTTCACAGTCCAAATCAACCAAATGCAAGGACTCGCGAAAGAAAGTCTCGACAGACCACCATTGGGGTCGAACTAGTATCAATAGTTGGTCCCACAATCATGTAAGTAATTTGATCTATAATTTTAATTTATTTATGTTTAAAATACACACTTACTTTATAATATTTTATTATAGTTTAAAAAATTTGGCAAAAGTTCTACGGTGTTTGATACGTATAAGAAAGCATATATGGGTATTGATGCACCGAGGGAAACCAGGCCAAATATTAGTGAGGAATGAGATACAGAAGAACCATATAATGGGATAGCAATTCCTGAACAACTTCGCATTTCGGTAAGTGTAATGCAATTTTTTTCTTCAATTGGTTGTATGTTAATTATTTATATTTATTGTTATCGCATGTTTATCATATGTGATTAATTATTTGATATGTTAAATTAGTACGTAGTTGAGATACGTGGATACGAATATTGTTTTAAATAATGTTAAGTTGTATACATGGATGGTTTTTTTTGGATATGTTCATTTATTAGTTGTTATGATGTCGAAATCCTCGCTAAACATGTATACTTAATCATTTTCAGGTTGATTTGGAACGAGTCTACGATGAGACAATGTGTGATGGAAGTGACGAAAGCACGGCCAACTCAAGTGCGATAGAAAAAGTGCTCTAAAAAAGCAAAGGGCTTGGAATTAAGATTACAACCGCCACAAGGAGTTCAAAGTCGAGATTTTCTTCAATTCCGCTGGAAGTGGAGATGGAAATGAAGTCAATGAAAGAGCAAATGCAACTTAAAGATGAAAAAATGGAAATATTGGAAGCGGAATTGAAAGAAACCTGAGAAATTGTGAACACCTTAATCGGGGGTTTTGGACTACAAGCCTCGACATCGACTCCTTGCAATGATGGTGGAGTATAAAAAGGGATGAACTTTGTTTGATTTTTGAATTAAAGTTCCAAACACTACATTATATGCTTTTAAGTTTTTATGTACTTTTTTAATTTATGTTTGTGTGCTACCTTGATATTTAATCCGTATAATTGATTTTAATATTTTTAATATAAGTGTTTTTTTTTTTTTTTCTGTACAACAGCTAAATACAGGATGAATTTGTCAATTGAAAATATAAATGAACCATAATTTAATATATATATATATATATATATATATATATATATATATATATATATATAAAATTGCGACTAATATATACAATAGTCGCAAACAGAAGCAGTAGTATCTAGCGACGAATTACATAAATAAATCGTCGCACATAGGTCGTGAGACTTCCGACGAAAACGATTATTAGTCGCAAACATTTTCGCAAACGTAGTGACGAAATCATCACAAAACATCGCTCAGTTTGGCAACGAAAATATAATTCGTCGCAAAGGTTTGCGACTTATTAGGTCTTCATCGCGACTATTAAAAAAATCATTTTTTCAGAAAATACGAATTTGGCGGCGATTTATAGGATTGGTCGCCAAACCTGGCGTCGCAAATGATTTTTCGTCGCAGGCTTTGCAACGGCCTGTTTGGCGACGTTTTTTGTCAGATTTGGTGACGAAAACGTTTCGTCGCAAGTCTCAAAAAATTGTCGCCAAATATAACATTTCGTCGCCAAATTTCGTCGCCAGTGGATCATGTTGGCCTAGTGTTAAGGAACTAAAAAAACTACAATAGTTTGCAACATAATAGTTTTTGTGTTATAATCCATTTAGTAAATACCACTACCCACTCTTTCACAGAGGTGGAGGGTCGTGTAGTAAGATATTTATAGTTGAACGACATTGGTTGCGTACATATGTTGTGACATGGAAACTGAAACAGGAAATACATGGTAATATAAAATTCCATTTGTTTTCCATTAAAACAAATTACAAATTAGCAGAGTGTGCATGATGGGGGCGAAGTTCGAAATTGCATTATTAATCCACAAAACGCAACCTAAACGGCATCATAATTATTAATATATTCAAACGAAAAGTAGAAACAAAAAATATAAGAGGCGACGCATCGATCATTATGCAACCATTTTGCAAGAGTTCTTATTATGGTGGCCCATCCCCCTACATTTGCTACACCTAATAGTACGGGGCGCCAATTCACCCCTACATCGAATCCTCTTCCGCTTCGGCCTCCTGCGGCGAGTTCGATGTTCAGGTGGGCCTATGAGTGCAGCTACATCATCTGTCGTCGGCTGCACAAACATATATATGGAAAGTGAATAGCTTTGGATGAATGTCGATTTATGAAAACAGTGATCGACGTGTTGGTATGCGCCACCCATACGGTGAAAAAAAATTATGGCAGCATGCACACACGGTATACCCTTTATTTGCCACATTGTGCAAGAGCACTTCCCCGATCGAACATCAACAATAGCATTCGGGTCGGAAAACAACTCCTACACATAATCAAATGGCTTTTTCACCTGCTAGATGTGCCTTTATCGACCAACAACCTCATCTTTTAAATCATACGCCTCACCTAGTCTAAGTGACATCTGCGCCATCACAAATATACGAATACCATCATATAAATTCGTTATCAGAAGTAATCTCCTCATCTTAATTTGTGAATTCCACGATTCACAACCGTTTGACGTCATCTGGCCATACCGATGTCCCACAAAGTATGCGTTAGACCACTTATCTTTAGGGGCATTTACAAGAAATTTACAAACTTTGGGTCCGCCCATTGCTCGCAGCTTTTCCACATTTCTGTCGAATTCTTGTTTAGTAGCAGCATATGCGCAGTATTGAAACTGTTTGAGGACTGCATTGCAATGATTCTTAGTAGCACCCCGAAATTTATCTTTGAGATTCAAAGTTAAATGTTTGTAAAAATAACCATGAACACAATCCGGAAACACGTTCTTGTCACCTTGAAGAATGTCGTGGTTTCTGTCGGAAACGAAGGCTAGCGTTCTGTCCTTCCCTATTGCATCCTTAAAATGTTTTAAAAAACCAATCCCAGTTGTCGTTTGTCTATTCGCAAACAACTGGGAATGCGATCGGGAATATACCTGCAAGTCAATTACATAAATGTACGGTTTTTATGATAATGTTTTTAATAAATACCGATAACAAAACCAACGAAGATTATCTTCATCACCATCCTTTCCCACTGCACTTAATAGAGTTCATTCATGCTTGCCTTTCAAAAACGTACCATCAATAATAATAACTGGACGACAGAGTTTGAAGCCCTCCAAGCAAGCAGCAAATGAAAAAAAATATCGACGAAAGACGTTTTTGACCTTATCGACTTCAAGGTGGAAAACACTTCCTAGATTTTCATGCTCTGCTTCTCGAAAATACGCGGGGAGATACGAATACGAAAGACCATGATCGCCAAAAATCTTGTCCCTCCCACCACCGGTTGATCTCCACGACACGTAGTATGTTATGTCAAGCCCGTAATTTTCTTTTATCTGTGCTTGAATTTTCCGAGGACTAATTACCTGCATCGTTCGAATATAACCCTCGATGAGTTACATGATTACATCAGAAGTGTCACGCTTCTTGCTAGCAGTATCGAAAAATATTCCACACATGTGGTTATTGTTGTACTTACGAATGTAGAAGTAATTGTTAGACTTGTCTATAGACGCATTTATCCTCCACGGGCATTGTTTTTCTTCCTTGTAACGAGCATTTATCCTCCACGGGCATTGTTTTTTCCTCATTCTTCAAATACACAGAAAAATTCACAAGCGACTTCCTGAACTCATCAGCCCCTCCTGCAAATTCTTGGCCTTAATTTTTATTAAGTTAGCCCATTCCGCACTCAACAATCTCTTACCCTTACCTGTTGATATGTTTATAATGTTTTGTTGTTCACTAACGACTGCAGCCCTATCGTATTCGACCAATGTTACAATCGTCTGCACCGATTGCTCCGATTGCACTAGACACGGCCACGGGCCGGGTTTGACCCGGACCCGACTCGGACCCGACCCGAAGACTGCCCCACCCCGGCCCCGACCCGTTGACCATAGACCCGAACCCGGCCAAGCACGGGTCGGTTTCCGGTCTCAAATATCAGGACCCGAGACCCGTCGGGTCCACCCGGCGGGTCTACCCATGGGACCCGGCCCGAGGACCCGACCCGGGACCCGGGTATTAAACCGGATTTTATTGTACAAAAAATGCACCCGGATATTAATTGTTATTAAATAATTTTAATTAACTTATAAACAAATGCAATATAAGAAACTTTTAAAAAAATATATAGAATTCCGATTCAATACTTCAAAACATTTATTATTAATTTTTATATCAATATAATCTCCACTACTGAAATATATAAAATATTGAATCAATTCAATATATAAACAAATGCGTTGATTAATACAAACTCACTTATGTTATTAAAATCGATAGTGTGAAAAATTCGAATGAAAAATAAAATAAGATGTTTATTTAAAAAAAAATGAATATAACTCATTTCAATTAATTTAAATCGATTAATCTCAATTGTTGACAAGAACTTATTAAAATTATTTGATTATTTTATCATAAGATAATTATTTAAAAATATAGATGATGTTTATTTTAACAAAAATAGATTATATCTCATTCCAATTAATTTCTTACTTTAAAAATAAAACTATATATGACGAGTATAATCAAAATATTATGATGTGATTTCTCTTTTAATAATTAATTTATAAAAATCGTAAGAATTAAATCGTATATCTTATGATTTAATTTTTTTTTTTTACATTTATATTTTATTCAAATATTAGAATCGAATCGTAACATTTAAATGGATTAAGCTCAAGTCCATTCATTTTTTTATACTATATTTATTAATAATTTAATTAAATTATTTAATAATAATGAATATGACAATTAATAATCTATTTAACATTATTTATTATAATCATTTTACACCTTTTCTTTATGCTATATATATATTCCTTGTTATAATAATCCTAACTATAAATATAAAAATATAAATAACACTATCAAATGATTATAATAATTGTATAACTAATGTATTATAAATTATTAATTGTCATGTTGACTATTATTAATATAAAAAATTCCGACTAATAACAAATGCATATATATTTAATTTTGAAAAATATAAAAAAATACGATTTAATTTAAAAGAAAGATTGAATATTGATTTTTTTTGAATTTTGAAATTTTGAAAAATTTCTCAATTATTATTTTCACTTATAAATACCCACAATCCAATCTTCACGACTTTCATTTTATTTAGTTTATGTCTCAAGGTGTTAATCGTTTCATTTTTTTTCTAAAATTGTTTAATGTTTAAATTCAATTATTGTTTTAATTTTGAATTTAAAGTTAATCTCATGTTTTTTCAAGTTTCAATATATGTTTTTTTGTTAAAAAAAACAAAAAAAAATAGAAAAACCGGGTTGGACCCGGACCCGGGTGGACCCGCCCCGAACCCGGACCCGGCTCCCCGCGGGTCGGGATCGGGTCCCCTAAAAGTCGGACCCGGACCCGACCAGCCCCGTGGCCATGTCTAACTAGCACGAATCTCACGCATGATAACAACATTGATGTTAAATCATCGTCGTTCGCAAAGATGCAGTCGTCATACACGTCAAACTTATAAGTTAAAGTGAAGTACGTCCGTTGTCGCGTCGCACTTCGACCAAACATATATTATCGACGAATCAAAATTCATGCGTTCAGAACATCGCTTTATTGCAACAATCCCTCGAAACCTCAACACAAATGTCACATTGGAATTCATGAAACTGCATAAATACTAACATGGTAAATTATTTTTAAAAAAAAATCATGATATTAACAAGGGAAAATAAAAGACATAATTACCACGGTTGTGACAATACATTATAAATCTAACTATACGGTAATAATAAAAGCACGAAAACCACTATGTCACAGTTTGCGTAAAAGCACGAAAACCACTCTGTATTTTGTTGAGACGAACTTCCTGCTCATGCAATCAGATCGATAGTAATCTGGAAATAATAACGATTACGTTGAAACGGTTTCTGTATAATTAAGGGACGACAATCGTGAGATTATATGAGGATTTGTTGTTACGATATAATATGAAAAGATATTACAAATCTTCTTTTATTACCAATCCTAAAACCTACGTTACTTTTAAGTTAGAGGTATAATTTTGATAATTTATTATTTTTTTATTAATAAAGGCTGAAATAGATTTATCTCAAAAAATTGTAAAACAATTGGACTCATTGTAATTACACTTGTATGATGGAGTTTTCAACAAATAATCCCTATTATTATTATTACTTAGTATCTCATCCGTGCGATGCATGGGAGTTACTTCTACGATTATAAAATATCAAAAAAAGTAACGAACAAATACTAATACTAACGCTAATATCATTACCAATATCAATACTAATACCAATACCAATATCGATACCAATACCAATACCAATACCAAAATAAATATTAATACCTATATCAATATCAATACCAATATTAATACCAATACCAATATCAATACCAATATCAATACCAGCATAAATACCAATACCAATACAAATACCAATATCAGTACAAATACCAATACCATATCAATACAAATACCAATACCAATATTAATACTAATACTAATATCAATACTAATACCAATATCAATACTAATATCAATATCAATGTACATTAATACTAATACTGATACTAATACTAATAGTAATACTAATACTAATACTAATACTAATAATAATACTAATATTAATACTAATATTAATACTAATATTAATACTTATACTAATACTAATCATAATACTAATACTAATACTAATATTATACTAATGCTAATACTAATACTAATTCTAATACTAATACTAATACTTATACTAATACTAATACTAATATCAATATTCATACCAATACTAATACTCATACCAATACTAATATTAATACTAACTCCGATACAAACACCAATATCAATTGTAATATTAACTCCAATACTAAAACAAACTCTAATACTAACTCTAATACTTACACTAATCCTAATAGTAACTCTAATACTAATACTAACTCTAATACTTATACTAATCCTAATACTAACTCTAATACTAATACCAATACTAACTATAATATTAACACTAACACGAATACTAATGTTAATGCTAATACTAAGGAGACATTTAAGTAATCTAAGGTGCTATTTTTATTTATTTTTGTCATTTTACAATCGATATTAGGTTGATGGATATAATAAAACAATATTTTAATTTAGTATATTGCACCTTGAGAAAACTTCACTAAAAAGATAAAAATTCCATCATAAACTTTTAAAAAATAATTACGGAGTACATTGTGAATGGGTGAAAATGCTATTAATGTTTTTTTGGAATGCAAAGTGCCAAAAAATTATATTTGAAGAGTGCAAAGTGGAATTAATACATAAGTATATTGTACTTAATATTCTATGAATTTATATCCATCACCTCTACGAATCTGTAACAATATATAATATATTTTACTCCTAATGTATGTTGATCATTTCAATTTCAGTTTCGTACTATAGGGCCTCGTTTACTTCTAGTTATTAGCATGGATATACTAATTTTATCCAACCAAGTGACGCGTTTACTTTGCTTTATACTAATACCTCCAGCCCATTATTGATGAATGGCCCGGTCCAATTTGGCTTTCATCCATGGATCAGCCATCCCAGGTGGGAGGTGGGATGTGTAATGCACATCTTGGGATTTAATGTGTAATGCACTTTTTCAACGGAAATTTATCAAAAGCTTGCACAAAACAAAGTCTGCTTCTTTCTCTTTCTTCATGTCCTTCCGATTTTTTTGTTCTTTTTTCTTTTTTTCTTTTTTGCTTCCGCTTAAAATTCAATTTATTGAATAATAATAATAATAATAATAATAATAATAATAATAATAATAATAATAATTAATTATTATTATTATTACTACTACTACTATTATTATTATTATTATTATTATTTTTATTTTTATTTATTTTTTTGAAAAAAAATTCCTTCTTTTGTGAGTGTTTATTTTCATGTGTATGTATGTATATATATTTCTACTGTGCTAGGTGATTCAAGGAAATATGGATGCAAATAGATGTGATATACATGTAAACCTCTATAAATTATATTCTATTAATTTAGCGAATTATTAAATTATCGAGTTAATAATTTAACAAGTTCTCACCAAGTCGGGACCGAGAAAAACTATTATTTAAGCAATGTTGTTAATTTATCGATGATTAATTTATCGAGGTTCTACTGTATATAAATGATTCAAGGAAAAGTGGAAATGAGGGTAATAATGTCATATCACAAAATTCCACTTGTCAATCCTGTCAAGTAAACAACATATTTCTATAATACCACTTATATAATACAATATAGTAAACAAAGTATATACTATATTACTTCTTCTCATCCCACAATTAATACTTCTTTTTATCAATTCTTCCACATCCCATATGGAGAAGTAAACGAGGCCTAGTAGTATTATATAAAATTATATATCTACAAAAAAGTACAGTTTGAACCCTCCTCTATTGGGTTTGTTGCAAACACTTTTGAAGTACTGTTTAAAAAAAATATTTGACACATAGGGAATGAACATGATTTGACAAATCTTGTTACAAATTTGAAAAATAGGGAATGAACATGATTTGACACGTTCGAGGCACCGGTTCGTTCATATGTTTAACAAATCAAGCAAATTGTAAAACTTGAACATAACATTCTTGGGGTTGTCTAGGGTCCGAGAGGGTTTGTACTTCTCGGACCATAACGATTGAATCTGGGCCGTACAAATTTTAAATTTTTAGGGCCTCCAAATTTGGAAACATTCTTTATATATGTTTGTTTACTTATAATTTTCAAATAAATATTTAGCATTACTGGAAAAGAACGCTATATGGATTCTATATGTCACGAGTTTGAATTCTTGTGGACCTTGATTATTTTTACAGTTTTTTTTCTTTTGTTTTTCTTGTTCTGGCCCAACTAAAAAGAATACAGTTTTTTTTTTTTTTTTTTTTCTTGTTCTGGCCCAACTAAAAATAGCCCTTTCTTGTTCTGGCCCAACTAAAAAAGACCCGCAGCTTTTTTTTGACTTCAACATTGATAAAGTCTTGCAGCCTTTTTTTTGACTTTAACATTCATAAAGTCTTAATTAAATAAAAAAAAAAAAACAACAAAAGGGAATAAAAGAATAATACACAGCAACAACACACACGCACGCACACCAACTCACTGTCTCAGAGAATGAAACAAGGGTTTCAACTTTCAACCCCCAAAAAAAATAAAAAATAGAGGAAGATTGAAGAACACAACAGAGAGATCGAGAGACAAAAGAATAAAAAATAGGTGTGTGCCTCCACTCTCATAATATTTATTTTATCAATTTGTTGTCCACTTGTCCTAATTTAATTTTTCTTTTTCTATTGATAATCAATGAGTTTTTACTTTGAGTTTAATAATTAGGTTCTTGTATTTTTTTATATTTTTTGTAGTGCTATAGGTTCTAGAAAATTTGAGTGTGGGGATGCGAAAAGAAAGAAAAAACAAAGAATAGAAGAGTGTACAAACTCGCAAAAGGATGATATTTTTAAATTTTTTCCGCATATAAACTGTAATGACCGTAATTTTATTTTAAATTTTTTTTTTTTAGTATGTGGTTATAAATAAATTATTGGGTATTTAAATTAAATTAAATCCTAACTAGAGTAGAAAAGCCTAAATTATTAATAGAGTTGTATATAGAGAGAGATAGAACGTGTGAGAGAAAAGGCGGCGGTTTTCAAAGAAAATAGAACGAGAGAAAGGGCAGAGAAGAAACAACCAAGAAGAGGGATAGGAAAGAAGAGGGTTTACACAACTACTCTAAACCTTTAATTAGTTGTTCGAATTAGGATAGTCTGATTTCATTCTCACAGGTAATTTTGATACCCTAAATCCACTATCCTTGTTGTTGCCTATATGCGTTGCTGTATTTGTTGGGTGTCTATAATATATAGTAGTTTATGCATGTAATTCTATATATATTTATATTATGCCATACAGGTTGTGTATTGTTGATGGATGGTGAGTGCATATATATGTATTACATATATTTCGTGTGTGTGTTTGTGCGTGAGGTGTGTGTGTCAGAGGGTTTTGTATGGTTGAATAGAATAATGTTCCTAAGTGTGATTATATTATGTGAGTATGTGCTCGGATTAATATGATACCGCATGATGTTGAGCGAATTAGCTAGTTTGACATTACAGCTCGATAGAATAAACAGTGAATAAACTCTAATTTGCTGGATCATGGAATTGAGCTTGTATTTACTTAATTTTAATTATGCATAGGTGTCCCTATCAAATATGGCGAAACAAAGAGAATAATATAAAACAAAAA